ACAACATTCTTTACCAAGAGAGACACACACAAACCGTCTTTTGTGTTCCTATTGGGGATATTGTGGGTTTTGTCATCTTCTACCGAATTAAGATATGCTCACAATACTGTTGGCCGTGTCTTTGAAATAATTTCTTTCTTTAAAGGATCAGTCATATATAGGCAAGAATACCATTTGTCCAAGATGTATTCTTGGTTTAATCTTCCTGATGAAGGTTGATTCTGCAGTCTGGTGGAAGCTTGCCCCCCTGTGGTCAGCCTTGGAATACACAACCAAAAAAAACAGACTCGCTGCCGAGGACTGGGTCCTGACTCATGGGAACCCCTCCTTGGGTTTCCAAGCCAGTATCACTACGGAAGTAGATTGCCCAGTCTTCCTTCTGAGGAGCGGCTGGTGGGTTCGAACTGCCAGCTTTCTGGGTAGCAGTCAAATGCCTTAGGCACTGAGCCACCATGAATATTGAAAACTAAAACTAAAAAAAAAAGCAATAGAGCGAGATTCAGTGAAGTAATTTATAAAAGTCTTAAACGATATTTATATACGGTAAGTTCTTTGTTGTTGTTAGGTGCCACTGAGTCGGTTCTGACCTGCAGCGACCTGTGCACCCTGCCCGGTCCCATGCCGTCCTCACGGTCCTGCTGTGCCTCCCCACGTCATTGCAGCGACTGTGTCAACCCCCCGTTGAAGGTCTCTCTGTTCCACTGACCCTCTGCTTCACCAGACATGATGTCTCTCCAGCGGCTGGTCCCTCCTAATGACACGGCCAAACTAAGCAAGACAAAGTCTCACCATCCTTGCTTCTAAGGAGCATCCTGGCTGTACTTCCTCCGAGACAGACTTGGTTCCGGCCGGCCGTGGGTGACTCAGTGTTCTTCACCAGCACCGTAATTCAAGTGCATCAGCTCTTCTTCCGTCTTCCACACTCAGTTTCCATCTTTCACATGCATACATGCTGATTGAAACTATGATGATTGGAGTCAGGCTCGCCTCTGAGTCCTCAAAGTAACACCTTTGCTCTGTAACACTTTACAGAGGCCTTTTGCAGCACATTTGCCCAGCACGATATGTCCTTTGATTTCTTGACTGCTGTTTCCATGGGCGTTGGTTATGGATCCAAGTAAAATCCTTGACAGCTTCAGTCTTCTCCATTTATGGTGACGTTGCTCATTGGTCCAGTCGTGAGGATGTTTTTTTTTGTTATGTTGAGGTTTGGTCCATACTGCAGGCTGAAGTCTTTGATCTTTACCAGCAACTTCACGTCCTTTCTGCAGCATCAGCGGCCTGCGTATCAGATTGTTAATGGGTTTTCCTCCGGTCCTGACATCGTGTCCTTCATACAGGCCAGCTTCTCGGATTAGTTACTCAGTATACAGATTGAATAAGTATTGTGAGAGGATACCACCCTGACACGCCCTGATTTAAAGCGATGAAATACCCCTTGTTTGGCTCAAACAACTGCCTCTTGGACTATGTACCAGTTCCTTGTGAGCACAGTGAAGTGTTCGAAACAGTCGATTCTTTTACTGAAGTTCTGAAATATAAAAATGCCATTTTCTGTACTAACATGAGGTATTTTTTCCTTAACATTTTTCCAATTATAAAAGTAACCCTCTATATGTGAATGCATATTTGTATGTATGTATATACACACACACACACACACACACACATATATCCAACATTGTTCAGTACAAACTAAAGAAAATCTGAGGAAATCCTAGGAACAACCATTGCACAACGTTTTAGTTTGTGTATTTGTAGTCAGATTTTCCATATGTATGTGTTTGTGGGTGTTTTGATAATTTCAAAATTTGTGTCCTTTTTCACTTAACATCTTTCTTAATCATCCTCTATGCTGTTGTGTCCTTTAGGAATTCTATCACTGTAACAATTTTCGAACACTGGGGCAACACTTCCCAAGTTTTGTTTGGACTTTATCTGCTTCCACAAGGCTCCTCTGAGCATCTACTAGGTGTGCACCTCGAGAACCACTGAAAGCATGAGGACCAACTGTACACCATGTATCTCAATCTCCCGGCTCCATGAAACACTTTTCCTTCCCCATGCAAAGGGTTGTAAATTTTGTGGTTCCAAAGAATCTCTTAGGAAATATTTGAATAAATGTTCACCATGGACATTTTTAAATGGAATTTGAAATTGGAGTTAAATACCTGCACCCAATGTCAGAATCTGGTTCTGTGTTTCTCAGTTCTGAAAATTCTGTTACCACAATTGTGGGATGGCATTGTTATGTTTACCCACGTCTCAATTCCAAAGGGTCCCTAAGAACTTTGGGGGAAAAAAAGAACTATTGTGGATGTTGTACTGGCTTAAGAAGGCCAAGTCCTAGTCTCTTCTGTGCATTGCTTTTCCAGATGGGCCCTGACCACTTCTCTTTACTGTTTGGTGTCCAGGAATGATGACCTTGTTAAAGAGGAATGCCACAGCTACGCTGAACCTTCATGCTGCTAAGCACTCCAAGCACATGTTACAATCTGCATTTGTTGCTGGATTTCATGTGCATAAATTCTGTTTTCTGCTTCTTTTTATAGAATTGAACTTTTGATGATATTTTACACTGAAAATGAGTGTAGCAAAGGTGTATATTCCCCTGGTTAGAAAGATCACTTAGCCAGGAAGTCTTAGTTTCAGAAAACTCCTAGACACATCTTAGAAGGCAGTATTTTTGTTGTTGTTCGGCTGGCATAGTAGTTATAAGCTCATTTTTTGTATTTTTACATATACAATTAGCATAGCTGTTGGCTTGGAGCTGGAGGTCTCTGGAGTATTGTTGGCTTTGTTTTCACAATATATATCCACATATATCACTCAGTTCATGTGATGACTTTCAGGAAAGTGAGAGGATGGAGCCTTCATTATTATTTTTTCTTTTTTTTAATTTTTATTGTGATTTGGGTGGAATTTTACCAGGCAGATTCTGTTTACATCCAACAGTTCACACACATTTTGTTTCACGACATTGGTTCCAATTCCTACTGTGTGTCAGTTGTCTTCCCACTTCCTCCCTGTGGTTACCTTTTCCCTGTGTCCTCCCCACCTATGTGTTCCTGCCTCCCTAGTGTCATCCCTGTACAAACGCTGCCCTTCTGCTCCCCCATGGTTGATTATTGTAAGAAATGCACCTCCCTGCTGGAGGTGTTCAGCTTGTAGGCACATAGACTGTTTGCCTGAAAGCTACGGAAGTGAGTCCAGGTCCAGGCCCAAAGGGTGAGGAGGAGCCCTAATCTTGTGGGTTTCACCAGTCTCTATCTGAACGAGTAAGCCTTGTCTTTTTTATGTTATTATTATATATATATATATAATTTCCTCAATTAGTTGTATTACCAGAACTTATTTATAACCACTAGTTGAATCATCAAAAGGGGTTGTCAGTTTCGCACGGGGGGTTGTTTTTTCATGACATGAATGAGTAGTGTTCTAGATTAAGGGTGAGGAGGAAGATGAGTAAGAAGATCATTGACATAAACATTGCCCTAAAGATTTTTGAGAGAAAATGAAAAACATCTCATTACACATTGGTTTATTCTCTATTTTTTTTTTTTTTTTTTCTTTTTTGGTTGGTTTGTCATTTTCATGGAAACTGTAGATATCAGCAAAAGTAGGGGATAAAATGTGCAGCAGGTACTAGGAATGATTTTTTTAAAAACTGGTGATGCCAGTTCACACATTTGCATAATCATTTAATATGAAGAAGTGTGTTAGGAATGTGGCTGCTGGTGGCCTTGGAGTATCTGTTGCATTTCCAGTCAAGCCGTTAATGTTGAAAAATAGCTGATAAGGATTCACAGTGTCTGAGACTCATCACAACTGCTAAGCAGCAGAAACAGACACCCTCCCACTTGGCGGGTTTGGGATCCAGAACTGGGTGCTCTTAGCAGCAGGCGGGGCGACTCCCTCTTTACCAAGTGCAAGGCCTTTTTACTTACTTCCATATTGAAACTTTTTCATCAGCCAATCCCACTGAATAGGAGTAATTGTTGTAACTCATTGTGGAAGGTTGATAAACGTGCGGTCATTTGAAGGTAATTCTTCACTTGATGGGAGCTGTACTTTCAAGACCACTGAGTTTATTGGGTAATTTAGTGGCTTCAGTGATTGTAAAACACTTGGAAGCCATTCCCATGTATTTGCAGAAAGCATCTTTTAGCTCTGTGTACATGTTTTGACAGTGCTCATCATCTGCTTAACAGATCCAATCAGTTCTGCAAAAGCCATTATGGTTGACTACAAAATGCAGATTTATTCCTTACGTAACAGCATATTTTTGCAATAATCCATTTTATTATTAAAATTTACATTATGCAGGTTTCATGGTAATTAACACGTCACTACCCTAGTATAGCATTAGGAGTGATATTTATATTTGAAATCATTACCAAGTATAATTTATTGTTTAATACATATTTTTTCAAGGTAACTATGACAAGTTTGGTTTTTTAATTCTTGCTCTTTAACCTGAAGTCAAACCAGAATGGAAGGAAAGAAGAAATCCTGCTATATTGGAGGAGGGGAGAGGTGGGCTCAGTCATGGGGGACTACTGTGGCTTGACTTAGCTACATATTTCTGTTTTTATGATATTCAGGATTTGCATGTTTTGTTTCTTAAAAGTCTTATAAATAGAGTAAGCATATTCCTAGAAGTTTTGACTAATAAAATAAGTGCATTAAAGAAGGTAACTTTCTAAGTCATCTGCAATATAAAATTTTGAAAGAGAGTAAGTAATTCATTATTGTATGATTGCAGAAAAAAAAAACCAAGAAAACCCAACAACAAACAAATGATGAGAGATGGTTCTGTCACTAACACAAGGAGTAAGCACTGAGACTGCATGCTTGCAGAATCTCTCCTCAGATCCTTTATCTCAACTTCAAAGCAAACTGTCGCTTGACCTTTTGTTTTACATTGGACGTGGGTGATCTCCTGAGCATCAATTATACCTCTGTTCCCCCTCTTTATCTCTTTCTCTGTGCCATCTCAGCTCCCTGTGAAGGCAGCACCTTCTTCTGCCACAGTAACATGTGCATCAACAACACACTGGTTTGCAACGGGCACCAGAACTGTGTGTACCCTTGGGATGAAAATCACTGTAAAGGTAATCTTTAGATTCAAAAAGTTTCTTGCCTACAGGGTGGGCGGGAAGTTACTTCCTTGTTTGCATGTATCCAGCACTCTTAGAAGTAGAATATATGGTGAGTTAGAGGAGGCCTGGTGGGTGCGATGGTCAAGTCCTCCACTGCTAACTGAAGGGCTAGTGGGTGGAAGCCACCAGCAGCTTTGTCAGAGGAAGACCTTGTGATCTGCTACAGTGAAGATGATGCCTCGGCACCAGGAGGCAGTACTGCCTGTCCCATGGGGCCCCTGAGTCAGGATCAACTTGATAGCACACAATGACCACAGTAACTGAGGTTTATGAGCTGTGCTCATGTGGTAAGGAGCTCTGGTAGTGGGTAAGCACTCAGCTGCTAACCGGAAGGTTGGCAGTTTGAACCCACCAGCCACTCTGTGGGAGAAAGATGAAGCTGTCTGTTTCTGCAAAGATTTGCAGCCCTGGAAGCCCTGTGGGCCAGTTCTACTTTGTCCCAAAAAGTCGCTTTGAGTCAGAAATGCAGTGGTGATGGTGAATTTTGTGTCCAAGGAAGGATTTCTGAATGGATAGGAAATACATAGTTGACTGGGATCTTAATACAGGTTTGTTGTGAAGCCCTGGTGGTGGAGCCCTCAACTGCCAACCTAGAGGTTGGTGGTTCCAACCCACAAGGCACTCCACAGGGGAAAGATGAGGCAGTCTGCTTCCATAAGATCACAGCCCTGGAAACCCTCTGGGACAGTTCTTCATTGTCTTTAGGGGTGCTGTGAGTTGGAGTCGACTGGACAGTGGTGGATCTGAGTATCTACTTTGCCCACCTAATGTGAGCTGTCCCTACAGTGTATAGGGAGGGTTTGAAGTGAGACAGTAATGAAGGAAGTGTGAATTGGAGCACAATACAGACTTCTGTGTTCATCTCCAGAGAGCAGCAAAACTGCCGAATTCCAGGGCAATCGAAGTCCACTGGTCACAGGACACTTCAGGCAGACAAACAAGCTCACAGTGGCAGCAGAGTCACACTCAGATCACATTCCCATGGGAATCACTTCCTCCTTCGTTCTGTTTTTATTTTTTTAATCAGGCAATAAAGTGTATGAGCAGAAAACAATCTCTCTCTCCACTGCAAAGAAATACCATGACAACTGAAACCAATCTTACATAGTGATTAAACATCTTGTTCAGTGGTTGCTGTAGTTTTGTTTTATTTTAGCATCTAGCTGTGTGTGGGTTAGGAATAGCATTAGCTTTGGTGCTCCACAAAGAGCTGGAAGGAAGGTCAGGGCTGCTGGAAAACAGCAAAAAGAGAGCAATGCTGGCTGCGAGGAGTGTACTTTGCTGATAATCCCAAGAGTGACAGCCCATTCATGAATCACTTTCACAGT